GAGAAAGAGCAAAAAAGACAGATGTAGTCAGTTAGAATAAATCTTACCATGTAATTTCTCCTGCTGATCCTATTCAGCACGCTTTACTTATCTTCTCACAACCAGCGCATTTATTTTACACAAAAATAAATAGAAAGATAAACAATGTGCACACTCTGTCTGCATGCCTTGGTTTCCAGTCACACTGTCAGAGATCGCCGGTCTGAAAAGGTTTCAACCTTTACCATGATGAAATTATTTTAGACAAGGAAAACAAAAGCACAACCAACTTCGTGGATCACCAAAATTAATGAAAATGAGGAAGCTTTCTTTGCCTAAAAACAGCATGAAAAAATAACCTCTAGTAAAGAACTAAACCACACACTGTATCTTACAGAGAGCTACTAAGTCTTTCACTTTGTTGCAGCTGGTTATACAAAATGTAAATAGAAGTAAATAGAGATATCACACAATTTGTGGGACATGCAAGTCTACAGCCATGCTTGCAGCTCTGCGAGGTTGTGCTTAGGCGCCTATTAAACATGCTGGTGTTGACTGGAATGTCATTCATTTGCAGGTGTTTTGTCATAAACCAATAACACTGGACTCTAAAATTACCTCATAATGGCGTGGGTAATATAATATAATATCATGGCCATCCACCTGTTGAAACATTTCACTGAAGACAAATGTCAGCCTCATGGTGGAGGCTAAAGGAAAAGTCAGGGGATCACCAATTAAATAATAAGATGCATCATCTGTAGACTATGTCTGCACAAACTTCTGTGCCAATCCCTCCAGTAGTAGGACTGAAATACTTCACAGGATAAGTGACAACTTTGAATAGCTGGTGGCATTAGATAAAAAGTCAGGGGATGACCAAAGGATTCATCATCAGGGGACCATGAATGAAAAACTCATGCAATCCAACTAATAGATCTTGGGATACTTGAGGACCAAAGTGGTGGACTGATGAGTCAAGTCAGGTCAAATTATATTTATGTAGCCCAAAATCACTTTTTGCCTCTGGGGGGGCTTCACAGTTTGTACAAGATTCAAAGCATGGACATTGAAAAACTTCAGGTGTCACCTAATAGGACCTGAGTCATATGACATCCTGTCCATCCTGAGGACCTGGAAGAGGACAGGCCACACAAACACAGATACTTGTATCTACCTAATGTAATATGTCACAAGTACTTGTTTACATTCCAAGGGAAATTTCCCCCTTGCTGGATAAATCGAATAAGGCTGCAAGATAAGGATAATCATTTAGTAGCTTATTGCATCAGTTTCATGGGCGAATTGAGATTTGAGCAGAGTAAAATACAGAGTATTGTCCAACTCCTCTTTGACAACTATGTGACTGACAACATGAGTTATACACACTGCCTTTAGTGTTCCCATCCCTGATGTCCTAGGGCCTTGGCCATAGCAATTTGGCTGACAGCTTCTGTACACAAAAAAGGAATTGATGCATTTATTTTCCACAGTCACAGCCTGACAAAACATATTTACCCAGTCATCCGTATTGTGCACATTATGTATGGGGGTGGACAGAATATACAGCTCCTCCTCCTTTACTTCATACTCCCTCTCTCCTCTGCAGCAGTCCACTCATTCAGACCCCACTGAAAAGTCACATCTGCAGCAGCAATAGGCGCTAGCAGCATATCTGTGTTAAATTAGAGAGCAACATCACCATCAAACAGTCCCGTAGCAAATTTACCCCAACTCTTACCCTCAAGGCCTCCGAGCTGCAGACAAAATTTTCTCTCCCTCTCTCTCTCTTTGTGTTTTGTTTCCTCTTCTCCTTCATTAAAACAGGGTGTTCACATGCATTAGTAAATAGATTTCCTTGCCCCGAAGCTTCTTAATGTTCCATTGGGCTAAGTAGACAAACCTCTTGGAAAATGTGGAGGTCTTGAAAAGCTCAAGTCATTAACATCACATCCATGCGGTGCTTATCTAAAGCAGAAAAAAAATATGTTTTAGTTTAGAATGATTTAGTTGCAATTTTTTCATAGTCACTTGAAAGGCATTGACGGCATAAAGAAGCCTAAACAGTCACATAACTCAAGCAGCCACATGTTGCTTTGAACCCATGTGACTTTTTCTACTTGTTTCTGGGCTCACACATTGTCAAAGACCTCACACATTGCCCTTCTCCTTCATGAAGACCTCCCAAGATGGTGCAGAAGATATGCAATGATCTTAAGCAACTCAATTTGGTCAGTAAATAAATGAGATTTTGAGGGCAAGAATGTAATAACAGAAGAGAGGCTCATGCTGATCTTCTCCCCCAAACAAAAACATACTTATTTTAAATCTATTTCTCTTTGAATTTTCTCTCACACTTTTCTATCTCCATCTGGCGTTAAAGCTATTACAAGCTCCTGCAAACAACGATAACCACTATCTTTGGAGGAGCTACTCATCGCACTTTGTTGGAGAGGAACACTGAATAACGCACAAGTATAAACACACTGAGTGAGAGAAATGTGGAAAAAGGTAAAGTCACCAGTCTTTCATTCGTTCTGTAGTGCCTCTCTGTGTCCCTGCAGCTATCATGCAGTGATGTATTCCATTGTATTCCTATTCTCCACAAGTGGCTCCCTTAATGAAGTGCATTAGTACTGGATGTGTGTGTATTTCTGGAGAGAGCACAATGAGGAGCAGAGTGAAGGGATGAGGTACAGGTAGAATGAGCAGTGGTAGAAAAGAGCCCTTTGGAGTCTGATGTGTATATGATGGAGGGCATCTCTTAAAAAAAAGAAATAAATAAACCCTCCACACTTCTTGTTTCCCATACAAAAATATTGCTTTGCCATCACAGAACAGACAAGCAGAGTTGTCAGAGTTGAAGTGCAGTGCTCCATAGCTGAAAAGGGGAGGAGTATGAGAGGGCGAGAGCAGAATAGCGGGATTGTGTGGATTTGTCAAAGGATTCAAAGTGTGTAGCTCCGCAGGGAACGTCACAGAAATCCCAATTCATTACGTCTGAATGAACGCTCATTGATTCATTGAGAAAATTATTCTGCAGGGATGTTATGAAGTAATGACGATTAGCATGACGATGAGGAACATCATGTGACGAGTGGTCCTGCCATTCAGCCACAGTTTGTGATGCATGGCGTTAGCTTTTCTGAGGAGCCGATGGAATGATAATAGTGTCGAGGAGGCCCTCAGTGGCTCTACCGCCTCATATCACGCTCAGTCATCTTCACACTCAGTAAAGTCAGCACATTTCTGCTGCCATTAAATTTACTATGGCTCATTGGGGATTGACACTGCACACCATCAGTGTCATTGTAATGCCTTGTGAAATTCAAGAAAGATTCACTTCTTTATGCTAGGAACAATCATTATTACTAAATACTCTGTTTAAATGACTGGCATTACGTGCTTGGAAATCATGTATTATTCACCGCACCTCACCGACGAACTAATGATTTTTACCCAGAAGTCTACACTTCATCAGGCAACAGGATAATTGTTCCCTCTAATGGCTGTGTGATCAATTTAGCTTTGCAGCCGTTATCTCATATACTTGACTTACAGGTCTGAAGTTAACAGGGCTTTATTTAGTGATGGGATACATTGGTTGCAGTGACCCCATAACTAGAGGCAAGAATTTCTTTACTCTGATATTCAGTGGCGTGAGCTGATTTAAAAATGCACAGCAAAGAGCTTCTCACTGAATCACACCGTAGGCTATGAGGGAGTGATGGGAAATTTTAATGAGGACTCTAAAATCGCATACCCGTGTATTATTTGCTATGCATCAAGATCTTATTGGTGTTCTCTAGAAAATCAGTGCAATTATTGTTATCAACCCATGCTGAAGTCATTTGAGAAACTTTGAAATTTTAGAAATGATTCAAATTATTGTAACTTCTCTGATATCCAGACACTCAGTGAATGCTAAAAGCCAAACAGTACAGTGCAGCAAGCATACTAAATATCTTCTTGCAGTTGCAAACGGCAGAATAAAAGCAGCTATTATTTTGTTACATTTTAAAATGCATAAGTGGTGATTAAAATTTAATGAATGTCTGCTCATTATGATCTTATGATAAATTTAACTTTGTAAGCATCTTAGCAGTTGCTTTTTTCTTTGTGGTTTTCCAAGAATGTTAACACTTATTACTTTGTGGCCCCTCTGTAAGCTTTAGTCAGTCAGTTATTAAATTAGAATGCCACATTGTGTTATGTCAAATGTTCACTGTTTCATTTCAGAAGTTGCTCTTGCACAAATTCAGCAAGCACAGAGGAGGCTTTGAGGGTGTATGCAGGTCCTATCATCTCAGTCTGTGATGTTAGAGCCACTGCAGGTCACTGAGCTGCAGCAAGAGACAGGGTTGTTTTACTCTGAATTGTTTTGCCATTTTACAGTCATATAATCTGCCCAGATGTGATTTTTTCGCTACTGTGGATTTTTTCTTTGATTATCTCTGTCATTCAGTGCTGCCTATAGTTTACTGGATTTGAAATACGGCATAATGAGGAATGAAAATCTGCTCAATAAACTGAGGAGAGAATGAATCAGAGATCCGGCGTATATATGTGTATATCAATACATGCTGTACGTGAACAATCCTTTAAAGTGTTTTTAAGGCTGCGAGTTGTTTTTCTAAGGCTTTCGAAACAACATGTTTGTTTTTAGGACATCATAGAATTGGTAATCTCTCCCACTTGGTAGGGGAATTGCTTTACTTCTTGAAGGTCTTTCGGACTGCATTTGGCTCTTATATTTCCCAAAGCAATTATAGTCGGGGTGAATTTAGTTGTCTTCTCTCCATGGTGGGCTGTGGAGAATGTTTTCTTAGCGGTTTTGTGCTGTGGAGTGGCTGCCATTATGGTCAGAGACACAGCACACTCTGCTGGTGATGGGGGAAACATCACCCTCTGTGGTCTATCTGTGTCAAACTCAAACTGTGGAAAAAACAATGACGAATACAAGCAGGTGTGCATGTGTGTAGTAGGAGCACGTAGTTGTTATACTCCTCTCTCTGTTTCAGGTGTTTGTGAGTGCTCAGACTTCACCACCGGGATGACCTGTGAGCACTGCCTGGATGGTTATTATGGCAACGCTTTGATTGGCATGCCTGGTGATTGTCAGCCTTGCCCTTGCCCAGACCGCACCAGCTGTGCCCAAATTGCAGAGACAGGACAGGTGGTCTGTACCAACTGCCCTACAGGACAGACAGGTGAGATGAACCACCGACAATGTAAAATCATTTTTATGGCACCACACTGTAAGTAATGGGCTTCACGTCAAGAACAAAATGATAAGCCCATTTCTACAAGACAGCTTGATGCTGAAAAGACTGTGGCTTTAAAGCTGCTCATTTGCAGGGATTGCCATTCTACAATGCTACATGTAATTCAGATACATCTGATATGAGTTTTTAATTCAATTATAACATACTCTGAGGTGACATGACCTCCAACTGTGTTCCAGCTCAGTCATCCATCTAATTCCTGCCCATTTCATTCACCTTTCCCCCTGTGTAGGAATGCGCTGTCAGATGTGTGAAGATGGTTACTATGGTGACCCCCTGGGACAATCTGGGCCAGCTCGTCCGTGTGTGAGATGCAACTGCAACGGCAATGTGGACTTCAACGCGGTTGGAATATGTGACCGCATCACTGGCCGATGTTTGAAATGCATGGGACACACGGAGGGGGACCACTGCCAACGCTGCCAGCGGGGTTTCTACGGCGATGCCCTGAACCAGACAGTTGGCCAGAAGTGCAAGCGTGAGTAACCTAGAAGGGCCTGCAAGGGAACAATGGTCAATTAAAGGGCCAGTGTGTAACATTTAGGTGGATCTATTGGCAGAAATTGAATATGCATAGGTATGTTTTCATTACTGTATAATCACCTGAAAATAAGAATCATTATGTTTTTGTTACCTTATAATGAGCCGTTTTTATCTGCAGAAAGAGCGGCTCCTCTTCTACGGAGTCCACCATGTTGAACCACAATGTTTCTACAGTAGCTCAGGCCAGACAAACCAAGCACTGGCTCTGGATAGGGGCTTTTTGTGGCCACTGTAGTTTCTCCTACATGCTTGATTGAGGCAAGCAGTTTCGGTCGGTTGCAATCAGCAACCACCCAATGCCATAAACTCCTACACACCAGACCTTGAATTTACTATCTTTATGATTTATTGAGAGAGAGAGTATGTAATTTTAAGAAGTTTGACTAGGCAATTGTGGAAAACCTACTGCGGAGTAATTCTATGTATCTTAAAACATGGATCTTTACAAATTATTGAGTCCTCACCCAAGACATACTTGAAATGCCATCAATATGACTGTTAGGATTCAACTTTTTCTGTTTACTACAAGTAAGGTAGAGTCAAGTCATAGTCTGAACAATATTCAGAACAAATTCCATTAAGGACTACATGGCCTTGGGTTCAGCTTTTAAAGGAACAGAGAAAATAGTGCATTCAAATGGAATCAGCTCAGGAGTTTCAATTCAACAGGTGTAGCACTCTTAAGTCATGAAAGGCGAAAGCTTAAAATGGGGTGGACAACTGGCTGCTGTGAGTCCGACAAAAAAGAGAGTCTGTGGGTTGGGAGAATTAAAAAAGCTCTGACTGAATGAAACAAGGCAGACAGAGACCCAAAGAGTAATAGCTGTGATGTGTTCATCCTCTTTAAGCCACAGGTTAAACTTCTGTACAGAACAATGTCAGAAAGAGATCCACGAGTCTCCCTGGTACCGTCAGTCATTTCCCTCTATTTTTTCCTTCAGGCAGTCTGAGATCAAATCAAATAAAATGTCCTCCATGCTAACATGATGCATTGCCACGATTTGAGCTGTTAACAAAGTAATATTGTCATTGTTTTGATAATGAAATTATTGTATTTGTTTTCTCTAGCATGCAGTTGCAATCCTGCCGGAACCTCTAGGCATGTAAATGAATGCCACCCTCAGACAGGAAATTGTCAGTGCCTCAGTCATGTGACCGGAAGGGATTGCAGTTATTGTGAAGTTGGCTTCTTCAACCTCCAACCCGAAGTAGGGTGTGAGAGGTATGGAAATCACATATGAAATACTGAGTGGATTTGTTGAATAGATATCATCACTGAATCTATTATTAAAATATTTTCCTGCCTTCCTTAGGTGCAAGTGTAATCCAATTGGCTCCTCGTCAGTCGCGTGTCATCCAATCACAGGGCAGTGTGTGTGTCGTGCAGGAGTGGAGGGGAGACTCTGTGATTCTTGCCGTGTGGGCTTCTTTGGATTCTCGTCACGAGGTTGCAGAGGTACAGGACTTTACTTCAGGCATCGCAACTGCACTATACCATCCTCTAATCCCTTAATACAGATTGCACATACTGTAAAGGCATTGCTAACTGTTCAAATGTGTACATATGCTCTTCCGCTGCTCTCCTGTCTTTCCTGTGGTCCCATCCTGCTGTCCTGTACCCTCTCCCAGCCTGTAACTGTGACCCAATGGGCTCCATTTCCATGCAGTGTCACAGTAACGGTACCTGCCACTGTCGCCAGGGCTTCGTGGGTTATAAGTGCGACAAATGCGAGTTAAACTATTTCCACGCCAGAGATACACACCAGTGTGAGGAATGCCCAGTTTGCTATGGCCTTGTCAAGAAACAGGTGAGTTTAGTTGTTTTTTTTGCTGTTTGTGTGTGTTTGTGTGAGGAACCACCATTCAGGGGCACCAAAATATAAAGTGTTTCAAATTCTACACATACAGTAGTGGCTTTAAACACACATGATGTCAACACAAAAACTGAAATATCCCCAATTTGACAAACAATTGCTTATTCACACATCCAGCAGATACAGACAGCTGTGGGGAAGCTGAAAAAGCCATTGCATTACTTTACTAATTACTCAACAGCAACAATAATTACATTACAAAAATAATTAATTAATCGTCAAAGGTGCCTTTAAACAACTTCAAAGCCTCCACACCCACACAACACAACTTCTGTAATAAACATGTAGAATTTTCAAAAGGAGACATTAGTTTGGAGGTATTTACTGACCAGCGAGAGCTAGCTTAGGATAAGCCTGCACACAGCTTTACTCCAAAAGTCCTGTCCTGAAACTGCAGCCTTCAACTCTGAACGAAACCAAGACAGATAAGAAGACACAAGATAAATACAACAGTTATCAGTAGTCACATGTCTCTTTTCTTGGTAAAGGCTAACTGCCACTGCTGTAACTCCTGAGGAAAATATCTGGCTATTCAGCTGCTAAATGCTTCACTAGCTGGTGCTACAATGTAAAGCAAGGGTTAAGAGCTTTTTTGCAGGAAACAGCCACCTGACTCACCTCAAAACGGTGCTATAAGTTGAGAGTGAACCATAACAGTAATGTTGTGGGCCAGAAAACCAAAATAGTAAGCTAAAAGAGGCTGAAAGTGCTGTACATCTGAGGGGAATTGCAAAGTCTGTCATAATTGTCTGTAGGTTCATCACTACGCGCAGGCCCAGAAAAGAGTGAGATGACAAGCTCTGCAAGTCAAGTAAGTCATCACTACGAGGGACCCGTTTCACATACAAGTAGGCATGTAATCCATGAAAAAACACTTAAGGTTTAAATAAATAGTGTTACATGTGGTCCTGGCTAACTAAGTTTAAGCTTAAGTTTCAACAATTATTCATTATTCTGTAGATTATTTAAATAAATAAAAATATACTGAAAAATGCCATCACAAATTTGCAGTTTGTAAGATATTTAATTTACATTGATATCAACCAGGAAAAAACAGCTGCAAATCCTCACATTTGAGAATTTTTGGTATTTTATCTTGTTAAATTAATTCAACAATTAGCAAAATTGTCAGATCATCTTCTGTTGATCAACTAATTGATTTATTAGTCTCAGCACGAATGTTTTTACTCTTTTACTTTAACTACAGCTGTCAGATAAATGTGGTGTAAAAGCATAGCAATTCCCTCTGAGATGTAATGGGAGGAAAGTGCAGCAATTTACAAAAATCTAGATTCGTTAGGTGTCAGTATCTCAGACTTTTGAGTACACTGCCTGAGTAAACATACTTGCTTTGAATCTTTATCCTATTCACATTTATTAATGTATGTTTGCTGCACATATTCATATAAATTCTTTGCACACAGATTGTGTCTTGGCTCTTGCTATTATGAGGTACAATTTGTTCTTGAAATAGCACAGTCCCCCTAGCACATCTTGCCTTTGCAAACCCTCATGACAGCCATATGGCTGCTTTGTATTTGTAGATTCCAAGTAAACAGTAGATGTGCAGTGAAACAGAAAGAGACATTTTGCCCTAATGATCTCCTGTGCTGCTTCTTTCTGTCCCTTTAGATTTGTTGCAACCCACGTCTGTATGCTAAGGTGCTGCGTCCCTGGATTTGGCTTCCAATACCACTGACATGTTCTGTCTTCTCTCTGTACATATTCTTGTTCCAGCTAAAGTGGCTCTGTGTTCTCTCCGGACTGGCTTGTACCTGTGTGAATGCATGCTGTGATTTCCACGGTGTTAGCAATTCAGTGAACATCCCAAGCCTTGTCTGCTCTGAACACCTGCAATTACTCTCACTATCCTCAGTCTCCCAGAGCTCTCCCTTTCTGCCTCTCCCACTCTCTATCTTTCTGCTCACATTTTCCTCTGGCTTACACACAGGAAGGAAAAGACTAACAAGCACAAAGAAAGGCAGAAAAAGACAGAGATGTGTGATCGATGATCAAGAGAGATATTAAAAAGAGGCTGGAAAACAGTGGAATAAATGGAATAAAATAATAAGAAAGATATATGGTATGTATTCAAAGGCACAAATAAATCACTGCAGAGGAGCACTGTAAAGCATATGTTGTACCTGGTGTTAAATTGACCCAATCAAAGATCATTAGCACCCTGGGTGCTAACTCAATACAATCAACAACCACATAGAACACGCCTGTCAATCACATGTGTGTGGCACGTGTAACATGCTCCTTTGTGAAAAGGAGGTGTGATCACAGTGAGATTACACGCTGTTTTTATAGCTCTGGACCATTTCACTTCCAGGGTCAACAAATTGGTGCCAATCACAGCAGCTTCATTGCATTTTCAGACTTGGACTTCCATTTTCTAAGAAGTCTAATCTAATTATCTCTTGAAATGCTTTCTTCGGCCACATCCTATGGAGAGAATAGTGTGAGTGGATGCGGATATGAAAAGTGTATTTTATCCTTATCCTGTTGTTGATATTCATTTATTCATTGCTTTTGTTGAAATACTACATTTTGATGTTAGGGTGTACCAAGAATCAGAGTCCTATCTCAATCCCTGTGTCTGAATAAATAAATACAGATCTGGATGGATAGATATTTTTGCTGTAGTATTTGTTGTCGCAGCCCTGTGTTTTTTGTTTTTTTTTGGTCTCGCAAAATTTGTATTCTCATTGACACAGTCAGTGATAAATCTCTGTGCTATTACAGGCAGAAAAGCTGAGGACTCGCCTGCAGGATTTGGAGAAGCTCTTAGCTCACTTTGATTGCCGAGGTAGATTTGGGAAGCAGCACCACCTGCTGAAGTATCACATGGCCAAGCTTTATGAGCATGAGCACCAGAGGGAGGATACTCTACCCAATGCTCTGGAGGATTTTCTGGCCTTCCAAGGTAACAGCAGCCAGAAGCCAAGATAATTCCACTTGGCCTGTCACTCTTTCTAATGTTTCCTATGTGGCCATGTAAGAAGACACTTGGCAGTCGTTGCTTTGTGAAATGTGAAGCTCGATTATGTGCCATTGTAACTATTGTGTCACATTTTGGCTGTGAGATGATAACATGCCATATCAGAACATACAAGACCAGCAAGCATGGCTAAGATATTTGACATGAAACCGCCCCCAGCGTTCTACAAATGGGCTGTTGCTCTGTCTGTGTCTCCTCAGTGTGACAGATACAACACAACAAAGCGATTAAATCAGGAAGCAGGCAACAATACAAACCTCTCCCAATTACTTTAACACAATGCTGATATATCCTCATTATCTTTGGGGGGGAAAGGGCTTACAGGCTCAGCTGCGCAGGCCAAATGGAGACAAATCATAACAATATAGAACAAGGCGCTGTGTGACCAACTTAATCCCTATTTATATGACAGGCGGTGCATCTCTAATCCCTGGTTTATTATGATTATAGTTGCAATCACGATAACAGTTGTCTAACAACCCCCCACCCAACACCCACATACTTATACACACATACACACACGTAGTCATCAACCATGCACTTTAAGACACTGTGGCCCAATAATAGTTTAATGAGCATGTGGGAGCAACAGGATCAACACGGTGGCTAAAACAGCACACACTCGGGCACACACACTTGTTATGTCTCATTTTATAAGACACAAAGTATGTCACAAAATGAAGCAACAAACATGCAGACATATTGTACTAATTGTGCTCCAGACTGACTCGAAACCTCACCGAATACAAAGTGAGACTCTGACAAAAGTGTTAACATCTGGACAGAATTGCGTATAGGAATAGTTTTTTTTTACTACAAACAGATAGACAGGAAGGACGAGAGTCTGGATTCACACAGTAAAGGAGAGTAATGTGTTAAAATACAGCTATGTTCTAGCTACACAGAGTTGGAAGAATAATATTCTTGGTGAAATAATCCATGAAGGACTTACCGTGGGTTTTATTTGCTTTGTGCTCTTTGTTCTTTCAGAAGCACGGGAGGCCTTCATAAAACAATTTTCCTCGCTGGAAGCTTCTACAGGCACACTCTTAGCCCAGCTGCATGGCATTACATCTACTTTGAACTGCAGCATCAGCATGACACAGGAAGAGAGGAAGGAGAGCAGGAAGGATGAAGGGAGCAGGGGTGTTTGTCAAACCTTCACAGGGACGATTTTCATGATCAGAGCATCTCAACAACAGCTAAAGCGGGCAACAATGGACCTGGACAACATGGTAGGCGAACATATCAGCATTCGTTCATTTCCACATAGTTAGCATATATTACACGTATTTCATTGCATAAAATGCTCTGGATAGTTCAACCACTCCACAAGCATGCTTATATTGTATGTAACGCAATTGATTTCTTGTCCTTAATATTGGGATGCTGCAGTTTACTACTCTTGGTGGAGCTCCTCTGTATAGATCCACAAAGATCCCCCAAAGCAAAGCAATATTTCTGAGCCCCTTCTCACACCTCAACCTCCTTCCTCCCTCTCTGAGTGGCAAATTCATGCCTCCTAAGGAAAATCCAAAGGATGTTTGATGGACACTAAAATTAACAACTTGTTCTTCACCCACCGCAAGGCTTTCCACTGTCTCTCCACAACGCTTGCAGGAATCTATTATGGATACTGCTGCCGTGTTATTTAGGTTTGGGGGAGATGAGAGAGCTAGTTTTGCCAATATATAGCTCTCTATTTCTGATTGTGTGCCTGTGTGTGTGCGTGCAGACACACTGTACCTTTGCAGCCCTTATCACTTGGGTAAGCCTGTAGCTGCAGCAATTTAATTTCATATTAATAATCAGAGCAGCCACCCAAAATGAAGGAAAAAATGCTAGAGTGTCAATTGTTGATTCAGTTTTCCCATTTTTATTTGCATTTTCTCAAATTAAATGTCACTCGGGGAAGGATTCCGCATTTGACGGTATACACATTACATTTATCAGGACAAAACTTCAGGGGATTTATTTTGAGGGAGGTTTTTCCCTTGCGTTGAACCATTTTGAATACATAGTGTGGAGGATCATTTGAGGAGTTTCATTATTTGCTAAATTAAAGTAAACCCCAGACCACCATTTTGAAGGCATGCGAATGACCTGTTCCTAGATATTTATAACAGATTTCACACATATCCAAACACATATATTCACAAAGAAAACAGCGCTGGGTGTAAAAAAAAAAAACCTCCCCAGTCAGCTGTAGTGTGAAAAATCCTGCAATTATTAGATTCACATGATTTAATTAAACATGTCAAAAGAGGGTAAAGTCTCTTCAAGGCCAGAACCTATACTTTTTCATTTCTCAGACCTGCTTTCTCTTTTTCATAGATAATTCCTTTTGAGGTGATGTCAGGACCTAACAAATGGAACATTATGGTCAATGACTCACAGGTCCTGATGAAAAGGTAAGTCAGGTGAATGGACTTTTAAAGGCCAATTATAAGAAACGACCACCGTAGTAATCTGTGGAACTTCATTTCTCCTTGCTTCCTTCTTTTAGCTTGTCACTTACGTTGTTGTTAGGCCACTGTGAATCGATGCCCTCGGCTGCTCAGAGTATGCAGCACTATTATGTGGTAGTTACAGAAATCTGGACTGGAGACCCAGTGAGGGGAAGTCATCGATGCTCAAATCCATTTCATCTCTCCTCAGGCAGTTGTAATGATCTGTTATTCTATGTTACTCACTTTCTCCTTTTTCCTCCTGCGTTCACTTTGTCTTCTTTTTTTTTCCTGCCTCACAGTCACAGAGAAATGGCAGACCACATTGAGGCCGTAGCCAGCAGGGCGGTAAGAGCCTCAAAGCAGACCTTCGGTTACCTGATGGATCTACTGCAGGACAACTCCACAGAGGAGTACATCAGGAACCTAACTGAGCAGTGAGCACAACAATGGATCCAAACATACACACACACACACACACACACACACACACAGACAAGCACAAGCAGAATAGAATGTCTCCCATTCACATAAAGCATCTTGTATTGCAAAATCCCAACAAGCTGCATGACTCCCTGGATTACTGCGCTTTTGCAGTATATTTCTAACAAAGTGCACCTATCCCTGTATTACAGAAGGTCCTCTTCTTTGCAGAGGCCTTTTAAAGCACATTGGAGTTTAGAAGTAAGACATTTAGCCACAGGGGGACAGCTTCTCTCCACTGTAAGCCTATTGCTTTCTTGGATTTGCCGCACGCTCGCTGCATCTCCTAGCGTGTGATTGCTCTGAGGATTATCCTGAATGCTAGACAGAATGATGCAAAAAGCCCTCCGGTGGCCATGATGAGAGCAAGAAGCGAGCAACTCAAAATTGATTACCCCCTTCTAACAGTAGTCAGCTTGGTTCAGGAGAGTTCTGTTAATCTTTGGAGCACTGCTATACGACTGTGTATGTCTGTGCTTATGGATGTGTGTGTATGTGTGTGTCACTTAAGAGGATGTGAATTGAGCAGTTTATGCACAGATGGGCAGCATAAAATTGCATTTCCCACACATTTTTCCCCATGTGTTGGTAACTTAAGCAGGTCAGACGCATTTTATTGGCAGGGCAGTTATTCAGTCAGAGGGATGACAAAAGTATTCAGCCTGTCACTAACAATAGGCCTGTATTAAGTCAAGTCAAGTGAATTTTATTTATATAGCCCAACATCACAAATGTGCCTCTGGTGGCTTTACAATCTGTACAGCATACACCGCCCTCTATCTTTATACCCTTGATTAAAGTCCCCAAAAACTCTTTAAACATGGAAAAAAAATAGCTGTAGTTAGTAGTTGAGACTCTTCTCAAGATTAACTTATCCTCATTAGTTCGAACACTTTTTACTGAAAATAAATCTCTATATTTATATTCAGTACCATTAGCAAACGCAAAAATAGTGTGACAATTTATACCACCACTAAAGTGTGCATTTATTCACAAACTGTTCGTTAGTACAGTTTTGAGGTACTTTATACTACTACATTTATTTAACAGGTATAATCACTAGCTACTTTTCACATTAAGATCTTGCATAACAAATGTATAATGATCTTATGGAATACAATGTAACTTCAATGTTTCACTGCACTCTCTGGCTGAAACTTTCAAGTGTGTTTCAATGGGTGTGGTTCAGTAGTGTGTTCTGTAGCACCTGTAACCACACCCAGCAGTGATGTCACAAGGTTCTGAAGTACACCTGTACATCACTGCAAAAAGGTGAAATGTTAAACCGCTGGAGGTCAGCAAAAGCAAGATTGTAGATTAAACCAGGGGTTACCTGTCCCCTTAAAAAGAAGCAGTGTCTAGCTGAGGTTCTTTACCACGTTTCAAATGTCTGTGATTTTCCCTCTGAACTTTGCAAAAGGTTTCTGTTTAAGGCATAAAGATGTTTAACAAAATTTAACCAAAAAAAAAAAAGAATAGCCAAAAAAAATTATATTTATTTATGTTACAGAACAGGTTTTTTTTCTTTTATTCTTCCCCTTTCCCCCATTAATCATCTCATAACCGTCCAAATTGATCTGGTGACCCTTTAATCGTGGCTGAACCCTTGGTTAGAGAACCTCTTAACTAAACTTGTACATTGATGAATCAGTCTTAACAATCATGTAATTATAATAATATATTGATAAATAATCAGTCACAGGGCCCATTTTTTTTGGTAGAACAAGTAATTTTTAGATACGTGCTTTTTTGACTTGTTACATTGCTGTATTGACACTTTTTTACATAAGCAAAAGATGTGGGTGCTTCTTCTACTGCTGACAGTCTACCCATATACAGCGAATTTTATTTCCTTTTAACCTTGTGGGCAGTCTTTCCCTAAACTAAACCAAGCTGTTTTTGTCGCATTTACTTAACCCAACCATATGGGCTGTTTTTAAAGGCACTTACAACAACCTCCAGCATTCCAGTGTTATACAATACATGTGAAATGTATTATTGCCAAAAGGAATTATTTTTAGCAAGAACACAGGAATGACACACACTCTGTGATTTTTATGTTTCTACTCTGTTGAGGCAAAACAGATTGGTTATCATTACAGCTGTGGAGGTGATAAAAATGGCACTTTAACATCCACTGCGCTGTCTAACACTTTGCGTTCTCTTTACTCCTCTTCACTCACTCTTAACAAGTTGCATTGTCTTGTTCACAGATTTATATAGATTTAAATATGGCAAGTCAAGAACTTCTATGACCTAAGGAATGAGATTGATTGCACTGAATAATGTGAATTATATGTGAGACTCTGAAGCTTAGTTTTAACACTTTGCGTTCTTTTTACTCCTCTTCGTTGTCTTTACTCCTCTTCACTCACTCTTAACAAGTTGCATTGTCTTGTTCACAGATTTATATAGATTTAAATATGGCAAGT